TTTCGTCACAGATTATCGTGCTCCCGTTATACATTCCGCGAATTCTGCCGGTCGTTGTAACCATTAAGCTGGCTTGTTTGGATCCTACCGTATTACACCGGGTGACTAAAAATTTCAATGAGATTGCACCTTTCGCATCTTCTAAGTTAAAGTTCTATATCTTCAAATTTTGATATTTCATGAGTTCTTAAATAAATCTAGAATCCACAATTTTGAAATCTTCACAAATTTTCAGAGCAAAATATATTCCATAGTCTCTAATTTTGGCGTAATAAATTTTTACGTGAATACTTAGAACCCTATATATTTAGATTTCTACATATTTCTACATATGTATTTCTTTTTTACATAATCGAGAATTTTTGTACATAGATTATAATTTTTTTACATGAAATTTACACATAAATGAAAAAAAGATTCTCTATAATTCTACCAGTTATTCCTCTAATGTTTTTAACGTTACTTGTAATTTTAATATTGCTTTAGTTTGCCAAGAGCTATCCTTTATTCGTTACTGTATGATTTGTTGTTAAACGATTTTGACGAGAACGTGAGTGGGGCGAATTATTTTTCTTTACAAAAAATTCGAATTATAACGCGGGCTAAATTGATGTACGTTCTCAGTAATAGGTTTAATTAAAGCCCGCGAGGCAAACGGTAATCTATACTAATCACAAAATTGATCCGCTACGCTTTCGTTCCGCGCAATCTTTCTTTCCTCGCTTCGGACAAAAGGGCCGTCGACCTGGCTTTCCGAAAATTCCGCGAAAGGGTTACGTGACAGTGCGGTATTAATTAAATTCCCCCGTGACGTTGTAAACCAAACAATCAACACGAACGTACAGTTACGTTTTTGATCTATCTAACTTTATTCAATCGAATCAACAAGAGGAAATAAACATATACACGAGTTCAAGTACTGCGAATTAATTAATTTATATTTTATTAAAAATAATTAAAAATGATAGTTCAACGAGATTTTGAGTCTTCAAGTTGCAACGGATTTTGTTTTCGATGAACGACAAAATTTTTGTCAAAGTTTTTAAACGTTCTCAAAATCTCAAATTTTATAAAAGAGAAGATTGTTTTTTAAATATTAAAGTTTTTATAAATTCTTTTTTTTATCAAAAATCTTTCTCTTGTCTCGTTAAATACTCATATTTCGACGTTTGCATAGGGAATTTAAATTATCTCATTCATTTACATAAATTTTTCTTTAAAGCTTTTAAAAATTCTTACATTTAACTTTTACAAATATGCTGTGAATATTTTTTAATAGCTAAATAGACCGACGCTTTAAAAGATAGACATATACATTTCCGCAATATTGAACTCGCGCAGATGTAATTTCGGAATTGGTATGTCCAATTGGCTAGTAGAGTCAATTGGATCCGCTGACCAGAGACCGAATTCGTTTCGCCGTTTTGAAGCTGAGGGATCGCGCTAATTGCAGACCTTAACGAGCGTCGGCCTGTCCACCTGCTGCTTCCATTTCCGGGATACCGTGCGGGCCTTTGCGTCTTCTCTGTTAGAGGTGTCTTAGAGAATCAGGTTAGGCTCTTTATGTAAGAATTCCTTTCAATTCTTCTCTTCTGAGCACGAGGTCGTGCAAAAAAAAAAAAAAAGACCCAAAAAATTTGCTCTTTTTTCCAACCAATCATGTTTTATTAACAAACGAATTAAAAAATCCATTCTAATTGTATTAAATCATTCTTATTCAGTATAGGACATTTTTCAGTATTATTTAAAAAAATATTATAATAAATTATTATTACGCTGATTGCCTTCTAATTAATTAAATTAAATGTGCCAATAATATATGCACTATATATCGTATAACATTTAGAAAGTTTCTTACATTTATAGATATTGTTGATTATTTTGTGCTGTTTTTCTTCTTGATTAAATAAATAAATTGCGACACGATTGTTTTAAAGAAATTTTTATAGAAGAAATTTAGGAGAATTTATGTATTATTGCTATTTACTATCTTTTTATTTAATTAAGTTAGAAAATATTTAAAAACGTATAGCAAATGATTTTCTCCATATATTTCTATTCTTTTGCTATACTTCCGAAACCTTTGATATAATCGGGATGGGATATCAATACACGTGGCCTATAAGGACAGTTCGTCTATGCGTAACAGATAAACGCGATAATTGTTTAGATTTAGGTAGAAAAAGTCCGGAAGACACGAACCATCTAAAAATAATCAGTCCGTTCATGTTGTCCGTTGCTACTTCGAGATCGTGGCATTTTTAGAACGTATATATACTTTCTTGCTGTTTTCACTGGACAGACATTGCACGTTTATGTCAATCCATTGAGTATTATAATTTCATTGTTAATTTTTTTTTACGCTTGATTTATCAATCTGGCAATAAAATTTCATAAAGAAGCAATAAAGCAACTATCGCAAAAATTAAATGTAAAAGTTATAGTCATGATTATAATTATAACAACAACAACAAAATCTGAATAAATTGGAAGAGAATATTTAATACAATTTTAACTTTGATATCTTTGATTTTAATTATAATTATTATGCAATGTTGCAAAAAGAGGGAAAAATCTGAATAATAAATTATGACAAGATCTAACTAGATTTTTTAACAAAGTAATATCATTAATTTTGAATACGTCTTTAATAGTTCCATGTAGCATTTTTCCCAGACCATAGAGAAGGCAAATATACAAAATATTATTTCATCGTTCAATCTCATGATATTAAAGAGGGAGAGAGAAGAAGATACATAAAGAAAAAGAGGAGTTCTTTCTCTTTCTCTCTTTTCATGATGACACTCCTTTTCTGTTGTTCTGTTTTCTCCTTCGAGAACCGCAGAAGCGAAGACGTTACCATAAGTGGACATCTCTCGCCATCTCTGGATCTTTTTCTCTCTCTCTCCGTCTCTATCTCTCTTTTCCCCCCTTCCCTCCTCGCTTTCTTCGCTCCTTCTCATTCTGGGACAGACTCGCAGGTCCTAGAGGTATTTCGAAGGAAATTGTCTTTACGGATACTTGCAGTTCGTGAATAATACAGAATACAGTTGCATTAAGTCAGGGTTAACTAATTCTATTTAAATCAAACTTGTTTTATTCACTAAATTATATTTATTTTAAGGCAATTGTTTTGAAAATTTCAATATTTTTAAAAGCGTATAAGTTTTAACAAATAAATTTTAGTTATTTGGTATAATAGAAAATTATTCTTGAGAATTAAAGATCAAGTCAATGTGTAATTAAATCATTTTAATTTCTGACTGTCAATTATAAACTATAGTATTTATAATTATTGCCGTTGTACATAAGGCTTGAATCGTCTAATTAGAATAAAAATCAATAAATAACATTACGAAGCGAAGAAAACTTGCTAAAGTTAATTAAAGAAATGCGCGGCTCAAGATTATCATAAAGCATGATCCATGTACATGATTTTTCATCGGTGACGTTTCTTCCGATGGCAATCTTGTAACGAGAAGACAACGGAATGTATATTAAAAAGCCTCATCGCACCATTTACGGCTGTCATCTCGCCAGAATAACTCGAAACCGCGAGTGTCGCCTTTTGCGGCTTGCCGCGGCTTCTTCTGGAGGTATTCCTTTTCAAGTCTAATGGAGAGAAGTGAATCGTGATAAGAATTTATGTTTCGATAATGCACTCGTAGCGTTTGATAGCTGTGTCACTTAAAACAAAGTCCTACATCAGTTTCTGCCGTGATATGGCGCATTCCGATTAAGTTGTCAAAGGAAGATCAAAATTAAGAATATGCAAATGATATAAAATATATAAATAACACAAAATACTTTATATATCATTTGCTTGATATAATTTTGTATATCAATATTTATTAAAATGTTATTAAATTTTATTTTAAGTTGCTTTTTATATTAATTAATTTTTATCTAATGTTTTTAATTTTTTGAATCCGAAATTATATTTTTTATTTGTTATTTATTTTTCATGAAATATCTCGAAAAATTCTTTCTAATATATTTCCTTAAATTGTGTAAATATACATATATACATTAGACAGGTCTATCTTTTTCTCTTTTCTCGTTAATTCTTTCTAGTTTTTTATGCTACATTTCTCAGCTAGATACACGTATATACCTATGCTCCCGTGACCGGGTGAATCATCGGCTTTCTCATGCCACCCTGTCGTACCTCGGCGCGGTTCGTTTTCTGGGCAAAAGCTGGGGTCGAGAACAATGGAAACGAGAGAAGTCGGTGGGCACGCGTGTGCAAGGTAGACACGGTCGCGGTGGTCACGTTTCGCTCTCGCGTTATGTGTGCATCGTGGTACACCGTGTGGAAACCAGCATTAGTCTATTGTATGCACCTCTCACGAAGACATTCTTCCTGTACCCTTCCGCCTTGCCTCTCCCCCTGTTCGAAAGCAGGAGGATATTATCTGTTCGACCCCTGATCATAAAACTGATTCTCTTTAGATACCAGAAAATCCATCTCTTCAATGGCCAATTATACCGTTTTCGATAAATTACAATCAAGAGAAATAATCAGAATTCTCTCCCTTCACTGATCTTGATAAAAAAATATAAAATGCGTATTATTTTATAGATGAAAAAAAAAATGTAAAAATTTAAGACATGAAAATTAACATGGGAATATTAATTTAGATTCTATGTTGGTTAAGTATAAGGGAAATAATTGTATAAAATTTTACTTTTCAGTATGTTATTTTAATTCCAACTTTATATACATATATTATATTATTTTAAAATTATATATGTATACAATATATATTTTAGAATTGATTCTTTATTTATTCTTCTTTTTATAATATAACTTTTACATATTGTTTTTCAGGTATATATTTTTTGTTATCTCTATTTAAAATTTAAAATTTTGTTGATTTGGAAGATTTAATTATTAAGAATAGGGGTTTTTAAAACAGCTGTTGAAAAGAAGTGATAATCGTATTTTCTGAAACCGAAAAATGATCGATGACATAGTTCCGTTTATGTATGTTGCACAGATCGAAAACGTGAGCTTGTGTGTGGGAGCACTGCGGGCTCTAGGAGCGGACGTGGGTGCCGTAAACCCGGGCGAATTGGCGGCAGGATCAACCCTGTGGCCAGTCCTGGCCTTGCTTTTCGCCTTGTCGCGCTACAAGCAACGAGCCAAGCAGCTACAGGACATGCCCAAGTAAGTGGATTATTTTTATTAAAAAATCGCTGACAATGATAATGATTGATAATGATGAATATGTAATATATATTGAAAAAAGTAATTTTTTGAAGAGTTGAAAATATAGTCTATAATTTTGAGATGTTTGATTCATTAAATGAAAATTAGTTGTTTTTTTTGGATATATATACATTGTATATTGAATGTTAAATGTTAAATGTTAAGACTATACAAACTATAAAATTATGAATTTTTCTGGGTCCACTTAGAAATATAAATTTCTACAGAGAAAGAGAGAGAAAGATTGAGCAGATTTTTACGATATTCAGAAACTTCAAATTTCTTTCTCTTTCAATTTTGGTATTTCGAATTTAGATTTTTGGATTCTTAACTCTGTAGTCAAGAGATTATAATAGACATGCATTCTTGATCTCACGAGATTTATTTCTTATATCTTCGAAATTCTTATATCCAACTCGCTATACCGATAGTGGATAACTCGTACATATTACGGGTTCTTCAGTTATTGGGAACCAAGCATGATGGGTTCTTGTACAATCCAACGTCGGTAAAATGGCGATCCACGAACTCATGGATACCTATAGCAGAAACTTCCAGATCTGACATAGTAGTCACTGGTACCCATCTATCATATTTTGATAAGTTATACTTTCTACTAGCTTTTTGTCGACAATCACGATATTGACAATAATGGTACACGGCAATACAAACTACAATTGTCAAGTTCATTTATCATCGATCCAATTATAAACATCATTTATTCAGCATATTTATCAGCGATTACTAGTCCATAAAATTAGAGATACGTTGAATTGGAATAAATGTCGACTCGGGCGATCTTTCGTGTAGTTGATTAATTTTTACGAGTTGACGAGGATGCATCTCGTAAATGAGGAGAGACGTTTTAATGATGTAAAACGTCGAGAGAGAGCTTTTAAGCGTGATTCGTATAAATAAATCAAATTTTATTTACCGGCTCGAAACTTGTCCTCATTTGGAAGCTTCCAACCACGAATGTAAATTATTATGATTCTATAAAATTGATTAAATTAGATTATGCCATCAAATAATGTCCGATGCGATACGCATTAAAATCCACGAAATTCTAACAAAAAGGAACTTTGCTGATTCACATAGGAATTTTTTATTGTAAATGTTATTAACACTCACGCTCAATTTTGATAAGCCATGATAGATTGATGATTCTATACTGATCAGACATACAGATATATATATACATATACGCAATAAATATATATTTAAGATATTCATTGAAATGCCCAAATATTCGAAAAATTCAACATTAAATTGCTTGTATATAGAAAAATTTGAAAAAAGCATCTTTTTAAAATTTTATTATATATGTTGAATTTTTCGAATATTTCGCGCATTTCAATTAATATCTTAAATATTTATTTTATATATTTATTTCGTATTTTAATTACATATTGTAATTGGATAAGTAATAAATGTGCATTAATATGTAAATAATATAATATATTTAACATTATAAAATTAGAGAGAGAATGCTATTAAATTAAAATTTTATTTTAATTACTGATACATAAATTTACTCTGATTAAATAATATAATTCAAATACACAATCGAATACATATTTTTTTAAAATGATTTTTGATGTCTCGGTATTGAAAGATTGATTTATTTTATTTGTTTATTAAAGCTTTTTATTTTAGCTTGTAATATTTGCAATTCAGAAAAACAATCAAAAATACATAGCCTCATGCATTTTTTGAAAATACAATTTATTAATTTTTTTATAATTTTTTTTCTAATTAAATTTTGTTTTCTTTTTTCTTTTATTTTTATCGAAAATTAAATTTTGTTTAAACAATATTTTTTATTTGTTTACATAATTTATACGGGTTTCACATATCCAGTGTGGCATTTGTATCTTGCAGCGACTCGAGATCCATGTCGAGAGCCTTGTTTTCTGTCGCGCGGTCGAATCGATACCGACGTCCTGTCGGCCAGCAGCGGTGTTCATTAACGTCTGCGTTAATCAACCACTAGTATATCTCCCTCATTCTTCCTCTTTGCCTCTTACTCGCCTGTTTCCACACATTATCGACATGGAGTAAAGCATATATAGTTTTACCAGTATTTCGGCACGCAGAAAATGTGTTTTACAACCGAGACCGAGGCAAATTCAAATATTTTAATTATTCCGCGGTTGATTGCAGCAGCCGAGAAGAGAGAAAGAGGAAACGCGGAAGAGAGAGAAAGAGAGAGAACATTATATTTATTATATCGGTGAAAAATTCTTTACAACATAAATTAATTTCAATGAAAATAATATTGAAGTATATTTGATTAAATCAAAATAAAAATAAATTCAAGATCAAATAAATAGAAAATTGTATAAAAAATCTCAATGTAAAAGATTAATAATGCAATGTTGAAAGAGATTAATAAAAATTAATTTTGCGTAGCAATTAAAGAAAGTACACGAGAAATTCAATAAGATAAAAAATATATCTCTTAAAGCTATGTCAGGGGTGACTGACTTCACATTCTTATTAATCGCGGTGCATGTGTGGCCGTACATGCAAGGATGCCGCAAGGGTGGCGAACGGCTGTCAGCTGTCAAGGTTGATATTTTTAAATCGCGATACTTTTAACTGGGCGATGAATTGCTTGGATGAGTAAAATCCTGAAATTATAATATGATTCAAATAACGCAGAATTGTTTATATCGAGATTGTTACATTTTCGCAATCCTGTTCGAAATTTGTATAAACTGAGAACTCATTTCTAGAAACAACTTTATACTACTTTTAATTTATAATTTCCTCATTATATACAAAAATTGATTGCTATTTAATGTATGTATATAAAATTATTTTTTACTTTAAATTATTATTGGGAAATACATGTAAAGAATAATACATTGTATCTTAAAACTTTTTTAATAAGAAAGTTTAAGCTTAAGCTTTTATTCGTAACTTTTTTTTAGCTTTTTGTTATTTGAAACAAGTGTCATATTTAAGACGCGGAAATTAATATAGAAAATAGCAATTCTAGACTTTATTCTAGGAATTGCAAAGACAGAATATTAGGGGATGTTTGAGCTAAAATAATTCGCTATTTTCGAGAGTCGAAATAACGGAAACGAAACTGAAAGAATCTCTTTCGGGCAAAAGGGGAATTCGAAGCCTGAATCTAATGGAGCACGTAACGATTCTTCGAGCGGGAAAAACGCGAGGCCGAGGCCCTCGAACGGGCCGCGCGCGGACATTAACATATTAACAATGCTCCATTATACTCGAGTGTATACCTAGTCCCCCGCGTAGGCGTATTATGGACCACTCTCGAGACCGCGGAACGCACATTCGGAGTCTCGAAATGTATAGACAGTGTCCGGAACTTGCTCCGAAACGAAAACTCTTTAACGAATGTAGACTTGTATATATCATATATTTTGTGTTTTAAAAGAAAGTTTTATGATAATTTTTCCGTTATATATTTCCAAATTTCTAATACACTCAAATAAATAATTTAGTAATAAATAATTTAGTTTATTACATAAAATAAATTAAATATCTTATCACATGAAATTTTTATGATATTGAAATTTTTTTGGAGTAAAGTTATTTTCATCGAAATTGATTCAGAATTAAAATCGGTTTATCGATTTATTATGCTGAAGTTTATTTTGTCGAAGAATTTCCCCTTTTAATTTGCAATCGTTGACCGTTGAGAAACTATTCAAAGCTCTCTATTGAAATTAAAACTAATTGTTACAATTTTGCTGCTAAATGTAATTTAATACATTCTAAAATATACATACCAAGGGCAGAAAGAGAGAAAGAGAAAGAGAGAGGGAGGGAGCGCTCAAGTTCAATACTCGAATTTTAATTTAAAAACACAAGGTAAAAATTGTGGGAACGAGCAAAGGTAAACGCGGACGAGGATCAGAGCTAACGAAAAAAGTTCCCATACACATGCCTATGCACATCTCGTTAGAGTGTACGCACAATATATCCGTGGCACACGATCATGCGTGCACGTGCACGTCGGGGCATTAGCATAAAAATGGTTTAAAAATCCGTCGAGCGTGCCGCCGGCATTGGCCGGCTCTCGGGGAATACTGGGCCTGCTATTGGTTAGCTGCGTACGGCTGAAGAGAAGAGGGGTCGAAGAGAATGGGCTTTAGAGAGGCTGCGAGAGCTAAAACGAGCGAGGGAGAGATTGAGAGAGATGAAGATGGAATGAGATTGTGAAAGAAAGAGAGAGAATGATTGACGAGGAACAAGGACCAATCCTGCGAGGATGTATCCATAGGAAAGAGAAAGGGATAGAAAGAGAAGGAGTGATATAGGAGGGTGCGGGAAGGTGCTATAGTCATAGAAGCACAACGGCAATGTGTGCGGCGGAGAGAGGTTCCAGGTCCAGCTAAACGGCAGGAAGGTGCAAGAGAGACAGACTGACGAGATAAAGTACGATGCAGAATGAGAGGGAGGGGGAGAGAGAGAGAGAGAGAGAGAGATGAAGGGAAGCAGCGTGTATCTGCATGGGGAAGCCAGTGTGAATCGAAAGGGGCTAGAAGGTGAACAGCAGAGCAACAGAGACGGCGATGGTAAAAGAGGAGAACCAGGGGTCGGGTGAAGGACCAAAGCGAAAAGGGGGAGATAGCAGAGAGAAAGAGAGAGAGAGAGAAAGAGAGAGAGAAGCACCACGTGCTATGGGAACGGGAATGGCTCTCTCTTCTCTTGCCGGGCCTCTCGGCGGTTCAGTTCGAAACGGACCATCAACGATGCCTACACACCATGGCCACACCATCATGACCATCGCGACCGAGTGTAGTGGTCGCTCGTGGTCGCCATGAAGCGTCGTCGTCACTCAAGTCGATGACGCTTTCGAGAGCCGATTTCTCGGACTTTTCTTCGCGCGTTTTCTCTTGTCATTTTTTCGATTCATTTCGTTTCGAGAGTGTAAAATGATCGATGGATCGCATCAATCATGCACGGAACACAAT